ATTTAAGATTTGCTATTTTATTATAAAAAGTTTCTCTTGTTGGCTGAAGGTCAATGCACTCTGATAACAAGTGTTTTACTGTAAATGGTTCTTTGCATGCTATACGTTAAAGCTGGTCTTCCGATTGTAGGTTTTACAATGATAATCGCGCTAACAGACTTGTTGGGGCGCTTTTTGCAAAATCGAGGGGAAAAGTATCCTTTGTTGTGGAAGAATACCGTCACATTTATAAAAAACAAATCGTTATTTATGGACCCTAAAGCAATACAGCAGCCTCAACATTAAAGGACACAATATAACACATCGTCAACTCAAATGGACAAAAAATTACACAGCTCCAACACACGAAGACAAAATATACCACAGCGACGAAAACAGAAGACCACGGCATTCATGGACAATATGCATATACCACAGCGTCATCACATAAGGACACAATATAACACAGCGTCTTTAAACATAAGTAAATGTCTTAGTATGAATAATGTTAGAGAGCTATCCAACTTAGGAAAATATTTATATTTAGCATTTAAGGATGTACACCTCTGAGAAGTCAAAAAATTCCTGTATTAAACTTTTTTTCTTATATTGATTTTTGGAAAAGGGAGATAATGACATAGTAGAAAATGCAAAAAAAAACTATATGTCGGTGTGTTCGTTTTTGTGCTATGATCGGTCAAAGATACCAATTAAACACAATATGTGATTTTAGGTGAATTTTCGGGTTTTGACCATTTGCAGAACAAATTCATACAATTTCTTCCAAGTGTGTTATCAGATATGTATGAATGTTTGTAGAATTGATAAAAATATTGTTTTCTTTGAAACTATGGAAGTAAAATGTCTTAAACTTATTCATTTTACTCAGAAATGCGATTTTAGTTACCACTACCCCTTATTTTTTGATGAAAAAATTGCATTTTTTGCCGATTAAACGCTTGATATAAAAAAATCCTGTAATAAACTTTTTTTAGTATTCAATGAATCAAAAGAAAATGTGTTTCTCTTTCTAAAACAGCCACAAAAATGGGGGGTTGGTGTGCTTCTTTTTTTGTCCCATTATTATTTGTGTTATTTTTCACCTTTTTCGGGGTCAAAAATCTAAAGTGCTTCAGTAACCCTAATATGTAATGTGTTACTTAAGTCTTGTTATATGCTCATTATTGAACGATGTTTTATGTATACTGTGATGTCACTATCCTGTCTATTCTAATTATGTTTAGAGAATGTTATATGCATATATGTATGTACCTATAAGCCTAAGGGCTTTTGACTAATAAAGAACATAGAACATAAACATGTGCTGTAACAAAGTATCAGGTGTGACAGTACGTATGGACAATGTCACACCTAGTACTCAGGTTTATGGTAGATATAGGATTAAAAACAATGGTTACATTACGTATCGCTACATCAGCCAGGAAGAGAGTTGAACAAAAACTGGTAAAGTACATACAACATTTACTAGTTAACATGTGCTTTCATCGTCAGAGTTTTATAAATAAATATTACACTGTCTAGTAGACCCGTTCCTGTTTAGAAAACAATCTACAAATATATATACAATCGGACCGGTTTGACGAGACGAAAAATTATTGAGAAATAAATGCTGTTTTCTTTACATTTCCTGAACTTCGCGTTTTCTTTGTACATAAAAGCTGTGTAGATACTAATTCTTGTTTACGCAAAATTCACGTCTATTTATATACATGCATAATGAACGTCAGAAACACTGATGGATAGGGGGCATGAATAGCATCGCGGTACCTATAGAAATTCTTATTGAGAGCAAATGCAGGTGTTGTTCAAAATTTAAAAAAATATGAGAATATTGATGCATATAACTTGAGTTTCACTTCTTTTTCATGGTAGAAAGAAAGGCAAAAGCCAGACTAATTACGATGAACAAAATTCTTAACAACAAAGTTGCCATTATTCCAAACGAGCTTGTTAGAACATACACACTTCAGTAGATTTCCACTTATAATGACCAGTACAGAAATTCATTTCCTAGGACTATCAGAACATGGAATTCACTACCAGAACATATAGCTCAGTCACCTGACTTCAACTCTTTCAAAACAGCTCTGTCTGACTACCAACAAAAAACTACCCTCAGCCAGAGTCAAATCTTGTCAGAGCTGTACATAGTTGTATCCCCCATTCCCTTCCCTACTACTGGTAGACGACTGTGTAGGTATTGTCGGCGGGGGTTACACATTCCCTTCCCTACTACTGGTAAATGACTGTGTAGGTATTGTCGGTGGGGGTTACACATTCCCTTCCTTACTACTGGTAGATGACTGTGTAGGTATTGTCGGTGGGGATTACCCATTCCCTTCCCTACTACTGGTAGATGACGGTGTAGGTATTGTCGGTAGGGGTTACCCATTCCCTTCCCTAATACTGGTAGACGACTGTGTAGGTATTGTCGGTGGGGGTTACACATTCCCTTCCCTACTACTGGTAGACGACTGTATAGGGATTGTCGGTGGGGGTTAACCATTCCCTTCCCTACTACTGGTAGACGACTGTGTAGGTATTGTCGGTGGGGGTTACACATTCCCTTCCCTACTACTGGTAGATGACTGTGTAGGTATTATCGGTCGGGGTTACCCATTCCCTTCCTTACTACTGGTAGATGACTGTGTAGGTACTGTCGGTGGGGGTTACACATTCCCTTCCCTACTACTGGTAGATGACTGTGTAGGGATTGTCGGTGGGGGTTACACATTCCCTTCCCTACCACTGGTAGATGACTGTGTAGGTATTGTCGGTTGGGGTTACACAGTCCCTTCCTTACTACTGGTAGATGACTGTGTAGGTACTGTCGGTGGGGGTTACACATTCCCTTCCCTACTACTGGTAAATGACTGGGTAGGAATTGTCGGTGGGGGTTACACATTCCCTTCCCTACCACTGGTAGATGACTGTGTAGGTATTGTCGGTGAGGGTTACATGACTGTGTAGGTATGGTCGGTGGGGGTTACACATTCCCTTCCCTACTTCTGGTAGATGACTGTGTAGTTATGGTCGGTGGGGGTTACACATTCTCTTACCTACTACTGGTAGATGCCTGTGTAGGTATTGTCGGTGGGGGTTACACATTACCTTCCCTACTACTGGTAGATGACGGTGTAGGTATTGTCGGTGGGGGTTACATGACTGTGTAGGTATTGTCGGTGGGGGTTACACATTCCCCTCCCTACTACTGGTAGATGACTGTGTAGGTATTATCGGTCGGGGTTACACATTCCCTTCCCTACTACTGGTAAATGACTGTGTAGGTATTGTCGGTGGGGGTGACACATTCCCTTCCCTACTACTGGTAGATGACGGTGTAGGTATTGTCGGTGGGGGTTACATGACTGTGTAGGTATTGTCGGTGGGGGTTACACGACTGTGTAGGTATTGTCGGTGGGGGTTAACCATTCCCTTCCCTACTACTGGTAGATGACTGTGTAGGGATTGTCGGTGGGGGTTACACATTCCCTTCCCTACTACTGGTAGATGACTGTGTAGGTATTGTCGGTGGGGGTTACATGACTGTGTAGGTATGGTCGGTGGGGGTTACACATTCCCTTCCCTACTACTGGTAGATGACTGTGTAGGTATGGTTGGTGGGGGTTACCCAATCACTCGCCTGCACATGCCTTCTGCCATGTATCTTTTTAATCTCCAAACAAATTATTACAAAATTGTGTTTTTACATAAATGCCACCTCCAAGAAAATCTGATTGCGACAATTGCACTCAAACCTAGAACTTGTTTGCGAGGTTTATATGTATCTAAGCTAGTTTACACAATATCAAATTTACCTTTAGCTTACCATGTATATGGTGTAATAGATTGTGTGAAATTACTCAGGACACCTTAGTTTAGGTCCAAATACAGCTGTAACAAATTATCACTTCCCTGTGTTTAAAAGCCACTCATGACATAGTTCATGGTCTTGTAGGCATTTTATGAACAAACACATGGATTAGTTTGTGTTAAAATTTACAACACATTTAGTATTATATAACTACATTTGTACATGTATACACTACCTAGAGTTCTTAACTACGTATTTACTTTACACGTTAATGTCAGTCGTCTCTATAAAGTGTACACGTACACGTGTTTCACTACATTGACTAACCACGTTTTAGCTTATATACAAATTTATGTGTCATAGGCTCGCATTGGATACTTTGCAGGGTCCACCCTACCGTCCTCAAATCAGTGATCGTGTTTTGACATAGGACTCAGATAATTCGTTACTTAAGTTGTGTTGGGCCTATTACGATGTATGTGAAGAGTGAAATAAGCTGTTGTAAGTGTCTATATCAACACTGGTAACTTATCTTGATGTATATGTTGTCTGTACTATCTAGCAAGGCACGATAATAAAATGAGCCCCCCCCCCCCCCCCCCCCCCCCCAACAACAACAACAACAACACCAACAAGCAATGATGGTATATACATGTACTACTTTTGAGAGTGGTTAGGGGATTGCATTTTTTAATTAGTGGTGATATAACTAGTTTAGGCCTACTATCTTCACATCATAATAGGCCCACACAGACCTATTGTAATAACTGTCAGTCCCGTGTGTACAAGAGGGAGACAGTGATGTTTGTAATGAGGGGTGGTTGTGGTGGTGGTCGTGGTGGTGGTGGTGGTCGTGGTGGTGAAGGGGTTTGGGGCTACACCTATCGACTACATTAATATATATGCACGTAATCAAACGAGGACTGGTCAACATTTGCTAGGTCCAGAAAGACACCGAACTTAATTCGCTGGGAGTGGTCCACTTTTACCTGTCAACACGTAAACGCCTAACTATGTCTTGAGTTACCGTAAGTATACGCTGGTTATACATCCGTGAACTACAGTACCACACCCATGAACTACAGTACCACACCCGTGAACTACAGTACCACACCCGTGAACTACAGTACCACATCCCGATATAAAAGTTCACATATACACATCATTCCATCACATTATTTCTTACCTTCAACTTGTCTGTGCTCTGTAGTCGTCTCCCTAGGCGGACGTTGTCACTTAAACGTTATGAATGCTGTATCTGTTAAAAATACCAGTAACTATAGGTGATCAACAGCTAGCTATCTACCTGTTTAAATACCCTGAAAGTAGTATACTGGCATTGAACAAAAACCACTGGGGCGAAACGCTATTCTATTCATAACGCCATACACAGGTACTTCGCTATATTTACCTGTACGGGTGTGTGGTATGTACATGTGTGTATACACACATATATATAGAGTGGGTGGACGGTCGAATTCATGAACAGGTTAGCTCGTCCAAGGCCTTATATACCTAATACCACACATTAATGCATTGTAAGTTAATACACTCAAGTTTCAAGTTTTATTCGAACTTAAGGCCATTGGCCCATCAGTATACAATCCATATTATACACAAATCATGGACAATGTACAGAGAATGAAGACAATCACATTCCATTATAATACCCTTAATTTGTTTGCCTCATAGATGAATTTTCCTAGTATACACAATTCTTAAATATTATGGACACTCAATAACTGAACGACTTTAAACACAGATGTTTTTTTCCAATAATATCTTTTGATAAAACGTGATCTGAGACTCAAGTGAATACTTTAATGTTGAGCTGGCAAAAGCACAATTACACTGCAATTATTAATGGAATATGCTACTTTATGTACTTTATCGTGTTATGTACATTTACCATACGGAAGAATTTTACGTTAGGTTGTAAATACCTGCGTAATACAATGCAGCATTTGTTATGATTGGAAATAAATGATATTTGGTTAATTTCTACCAAGAGTTGTCGTTCCTTACGCAAACCATCGTATCTTGCAGCCAAGAATCTGGACGAAAAATACACTTGATTATGTGCATTTTTTTCTCGCCAGAAATAGTCTTCTTGGTTTCGTTTATATTTGTACATTTGCGCAGCATCTTTCTGTTACTATTTACACAGAATACAATGTAAGGTGAAAGTCTATAGCAGCATTAGATCAGCTGACAAACCAGGATGGTGTTTGAAAACACCCGTGTCATTGTCAATGTAAAATAATAACTAGAAGTTAACCAAATGTTATCAATTACTACAGATGGTAGCAAGTATTGCATTGCTAATCAATAAAAGCGGAAAACAAAGTGAAACATTCTCTAATTAGGACTTAAAGATAAATATTGATTATCTTTTTATTTTATTTCTTTATCTTTTTATGTCTATATTTCATTTTAGTTTATTTGATTGATTTTTCATAGTTCTATAACGAATATTGCTTTGCTGACAAATGACAATTAGTCATCAAAATCATGTTCAGGAAAAGAAAAAAAATATGTAGCATGTTTCGTCGACCTTTCTTCTTTGGCCATGATGACCTCTACCGTGTGTTGATGGATGCATGAATACAATAACAATGGTCACTACTGATTAATTCAGATGTGGTAAGCATGTCTCCTATCCTTTCAGATACTTAAAATATATGGTAAGAAATGGTGTCTTGAAGACAATCGTGAAAGTCTGGTCAAGATCAAAGCCTCGTTAATAGAAAAAGCCTGGCTCTATATATTTATTTTGTCAACGGCATTTATATAAATAGAAAACCCTGGTATAAAATCTGGCACGTGACAATCATGAGGAATGCCATGTAAGAAACCAAATATTTAAAATGAAAAAGTCAATGCAGAAAAAGCAAACGAAGTAAACATTAACTGTACCAGTCAACTTAAACTTGGGGGTAAAACATTATCGTGGAAGGTCGTCAAAGAGTTTCATAGTGATGTGACTATATTTGTAAGTGAGGAAGTATAGCGATCAAGCTTAAGCACTACTTAAGAGGTAAGAGAAAGAGTAAATAAGCTTGAGAGTTAGCAAATTGAAAGGGCCTGATTAAATATGTCAATATATCGTCTGAAGTTTCTGAGGGTTGTTTTTTCCATAAACTTCCCTTCGGCTTATGAATACGCGAAAACACATGCACCTGCAATTGTTCCTAATTTATTTTATATTTCAGTCATTAAACCTTTTATATAAATTACTTGTTGCCAATTATTACGGCATTGAAACGAATTGGACGTATATTCTGAAAGAGAATACTTATTTTCTTATCTGACGGTAGCCTTTGTATGTCGGAATTGAGAAAAGAATACTGTTACACGTACCCACTGTGTGTCCTACATCAAAGACGCGGAGAAGGGATTTACTTTTGTGCCCTCTACTCAGGGCGTAAAGCGCCTATTGCAACATTTGGGTTCTTTATCTTTTCTCTCTTCTTCCTAAAAACATTTTCTATTTCAGTGTTCAACGTCGCCCAAGTGAGGAAGGCAACGGGTTCCCATGCCGGGGCATACCAAAGTCCTTCCCAATGGTTACATGTAGTTGTTATTTCCTGCTTAGCGTTCAGAAATTAGGGTAATGACAACAACTGGTTCACCCGTTTTTTAAATAGTGTGACTAAGTGGAACCTGTGCTGGGTGCCTTCAGCATGGTATTTCAATGGGGTAACACTTTACAGTTGGCATAAGATCCACTCTATCGCAAAGAGTCTAATACACAAAGACATTCTGCCTCCAGCACAAACACATGGACACACATTCACGTATACATTACATACAATATGTACACTGAGAAAGCCTTCAAAGTACATAATCTATTGATATAACATTTAACCAAACCAGAGCCAAAACAAATGCCATGACGTTTTTAACAGCTTACTCCAGAAGCATAGATGGGTTCCAGGTACACAACAAAGAGACAGCAACTTTCTGGTTTTGTTTTGGTTTCTTGACGTCCTATTAACAGCTGAAGTCATTTTAGGACATAACTCCATATTTGTTATGCATGCGTGCATGTGTGTATGTGAGCTGGAGACAGGGTATTTGAATATATGTGACTCCGTGTGATAACGCGGATCTGATGCCCGATTTTAGAGTGCTACTTCACTGAATTGCCATGCCGAAGGCACCCGGTACAGTATGCCACCCGGTCAAATCATACTGACAACGACAGTCGCTATTATCCTTTAAAGCAAGGCACTTAAAAAGAAGAGAGAGAAAGACAGAAAGGTTATTAAGAAATAGAGAAAAGACATAAAGATTATATATATTCTAAAATGTAATTGATGTAATAAATCCCCATACTATTTTTAAGATACGAAGCAGAGGAAGCTGTTATTTTAAATACTCTTCGGTCTCTACTGTTGTCTTTTCATTTCGACTTAGAACCTTATCTATTATATGCTATAAAAATTATGACAAACAATGTGTATACATATATTGCATTGTAAAACATATCGTTGGCTAATTATCAACTTAAACTCTTTTAATTCATATACAAATAATGGATGCTTAAATTGATTATAAAATATTTAAAAATACTACCAGAAAATAATCAATGGACAATGCAATATCCATAACTTTGCACACTGTTCAAAAACTATTTTGTCGATATTTCGTTAAGTGACCTAACCTAGCATTACATTTTTTAGTTTGTTTAACAGGATACGGCATAATAATTTAGATTTTTTTTATTTCTTGCTTTAACATTGTGAATCCCTATACATCGAATTTTATTTTATATTGAACAGTCTTTAAAAATTATCATAGGAACTACTGTTAAATCCGCGTTAAGCTAACCAGACTTAAAAATAGTGTATTAACCTTGTATGGTTCAGTAACATCGGGTTGCGTAATCACAATAGGAGATCTAGAGTTTTGTATAATCGCGGTACCGATGACCTACCATACCTGATCTTTATCAATGGTACACTCTACTCGTGTGCAGTGGTTATGTCATCGCCTCCGCGACAAACACCATTTTGATCATAGCGTAACATAAGCATTCATAATGCATTATAAGCATTTGAAAAGTAGTGCTCATTCCTAGTTGATTTGGTTTATACATGTCAATAATATTGTCAGCAGACATTTTGGATTTTTAACTGATATGACCGATTAGGCCGCAGATGGTAAGCTCTTACTAAACAATACTAGTTTACGTGTGTGTTTTGCAATATGATGTTTTCTTTAAACCTAACCATTGATATATTCTTGTGTTCACAACCCTGTATTGTCAGTCTTGTGTCGCATTTTTACTGCTTTAACCAATCCGTACTTCAGATAGGGGCAATGCTCATTATGTAAAACATACAGCCGTATACCAGACTACTCATACACATGCATTAACATATAACAGACAATAAAACAAGTTTTAGCTACTAGTATTATAATTGGTGACTTGAATGTTCACCTCAGGAAGCAGGGCACACTCTATCCTACGTGTCGGTTCTGTTGCACTTTTTAATAACCGTATTGGTACGTCAGCATGTATGTTTGGGAAGGACCATTTTGATATTTATTCGATTTTTATCTCCATCCCTCAACATGTATTTTATCGTATCATGCTCTGATATTACTACTACTGTGACGTTTGTGCATGCATAAAGGGAACTGGGTAATTGGATGTCAATTTCCATGTATAATGAAATGTGTTATAAACAAACATATCTAAAACTAAAATAGAAATTTCTTTAAACACGGCATTATGAGAAAGTTCAATATTTTTGTATATTGCGAACTCATTTAATTTCGATAGGCTTAATATAACATGTACAAATCAACATGGAATGTGCGGTATTGATGGCCGCGTAAGTGTTTATTCCAAAACCATAACAGAAAAATAAGAATGAAACTTTTTTGAACTCGCAATTGTAAGTAAGACTTTGACATGTAGTACATCTAAGTTACTAGTTCCGCTTACTACTACTTTTTCTGTTTTTCTTTCCAGGGGTGACGATGGCAGAGCAAAAATATTTAATGTTGGTATCGCTTTTGATCCTGTTAATAACAGATCACAGCAAAGGTTGGTAAGCTCTTTACAGTGACCTACCATAGGCACTCGGTCAGTTGTTGTACACTTTATTCCATGAAATATTACAGTTTTTAATTAACAATTATAATTTTAATTCTCCATCAAATTTCGTAAAGCTGAAACACTTTTTAGACGTAAAGCAATCATCTATTATCACAATATCTGAATTGAGTTTTGATTTCTACATTAAGAGGAACCAGTGATTGTTCTTGGGGTTTATCTAAAGGGCCGTTATTTTGACAATGAATCACAGGGCCTACGACTGGAACGTTGACTTAAAATAATAGTCATAATCGTAATCAACAAATACTCATGGCAGATAATGAATATTTTTTATGCTATCATATTCGGTATAATTGTCAAACTATTTTCAGTTGAAATTCATAGGCAATATGAATGCCAACTAAACAGAGGCAAATCCAACATGAAAGGTGATTACTTTGCCTTATAGTTAAGAATAGTCACTGAAAAAGAACAAGAATAAAGTGTAAGAGCTACTTATTGACTGAATATATATGACACGTAACTGTAACTTTCTAATAAAACATGTAACCAGTGCTACTAGTACAAGTATAAGAAAGTAGAGAAACTCGAAGATAAAACCTAACGGGGTTCAGTTTAATCAAGTGAATCCATGTAACAAGGTGTTTATTTGTTTATTTGCAAGTGTCCGTGTTTGAAAAAAGCCTCCTTGTCACAGAAGGAAATACCCTATTGAGATATGTACACAAAATGTCTATGTATGTTAGGTTCTGCCTTGACATACCCGTACTGGTATGAGGTTAAAATCATTATTGCTGTGTGGACACAAATGGAATTATTATATTGTATTCCAGGTGCGATTGACTTCTGTTACCATACGGGTATGTATGTTTGATATAGAACAACGAATAAACAATTTCCTAACCAGTAGAATATCTATTGATCATAACATGTATGCTATCACAAGAAAATTCATAAGTAACAAAGGAAACTAGGTTATGTGTCTTTCTACGATTTTCATGTAATTGTTACATAAATTGATAAATCTTTAACAAAATATGGCAAATGTAGCCGAACAAAGAGATATTGTATGTGTAATTAATAGTGTATCCTTTGAACATCAATTATCTGCTTCCACAGCCAGCTGTACGAAACATGACCCTATATTATGTTACCCACAGATCCATGTACCGAAAGTGTGCCAACATTAGATGTGTTCGGACGTTCTACAAACTGTCCCTATTATGGCCGGAATGGTTTATGTGACTCTAGTCTAACTGAGGCGTGGTATAGGACGGATACTCCCATGGTCAACACGTGTCCAGAACAGTTGAACATATGTGGTACCTATTATCCAGTCTATCTGAATGGTATATAATCAGTTATGTATATAAATATTTAAAAAAAAATAGAAAACAATATATCTTTTGAAATCTCCAACATTAACCGGGAATAAACATCAGACTGTCACATGGAAACCTAAGAAGTTTCTTGCAGTTAAATATTTATTAAATATATTAATCAATTAAATAGCAAAATATAATTTTAAAATGGTTTAACTACAGAAGACCTCAGTAGTGGTCAAACACAATATCAATATGTTATTTATGGATCCTATTTGTAAAACAAACTGATCAATTCATTAGCGAAATTTTAAGGGTAGATTGATTACACAATATTATAATAATTATCGAATATTCTCTAGCTTGAATGTAAAGAAACGGTTTGCGAATGAAAGTTAGCATAAAGTGTGTTTTATTTAGTTAACAAACTATGCGTAACATTTAGGTATAAATGTCAACTGAAAATGAAATGTTCCATGACACATGCCATCGGGAAAAAACAGGAATTAGAGACAGAAACAATTGTATACATTTATATAAATGTTACTGTCTGAATATGACCAATATATAATCGAAGCTTGTTGATATATAACGACCAGTTATCTAGTCAGATAGCATATACATAAGTTGACTGATTTTTTGTAACAATAAAAATAAGAGATGAATGCCCTTTTCGGAGTACTGCATTTTGGTAAGAGAAGGTTGCACGAAAGATTTATGGGGTAAATATATATATATATATATATGACAGTAAATAACAGTATAGCTATGTATGTTCAGGTATGTGAGATATATATATACATTGTTGAAAGGTTACCGTATATCGTTAGGTAATTGTGTCGACATAGTGTCAATGATTAAAATAGTAAATCACAAGGTTCTTGTTCCAAAAAGGTGCCTTACCAAGTTCCAATTCAATTTAAATTTCGTTATTTTTAATGACCGAGCGATTTCTTTCATTCTTTCTCTCCTCCTCCCTTCCTTTCTATAATTTTGACATAATTTCACATTTTCTTATTAAAAAAAAAATCAGAATTTGAGTTAAATTTCTCACACTTCTGTGTTATTATATGGAAACAAACAATTATATTTACCCATTCTTACCAATATCAGTCTGTCCTAGGTAACATACAACATTTTATGTAAACTTGGTTCCGACGTTAATCTTACATTATATCCCATACAGGCAGTGAGCCGACAGTAAGTGACGGTATGGTGACTTCAACAGCCTGTATGAAAGGGTTCACCGGGTGTTGTGAAGAGGTGTACAATATCGTGCTGAAGAATTGTTCATCATTTGTAGCATACTGTTTACAACACACGAAAGGGTGCGCAGAGCGGTATTGCTTTGGTAAGACAGAACCATGCTTTTAGTATATTGGTATTTTTCCATTTTCTGAAAGTTCCAAATTCAAAAGAACAGAATCTTCATTTTAATGCATGTAATATAATGGAATCAAGTATTATAAAAAGTATCAATAAATGTAAATAACATATAAACCAAGTATACCATTCTTCAATATTACCTTTCAAAGAGGAACACACACACACACACACACACACACACACACACACACACACACACACACACGTGCTTGCACCACCTTTACAATATGGTTATAGACACAGTGTACAGAAAGGATTTGCACTGCATCATACAGCTGTTTCGTCAATATAATTATTTTACATCTGTCATTTATATTAGGTAATGCTTAATTCTATCTTAATATAATAGCCTAAAATCATTATATTATTAACTCGAAATATGTATTGAGATGTTATGTAATGCCCCATTTCCTTGAAGGCGATACAGGAGCTTGTCCTACAACAACGACAACCACGACGACGACGACGATGACTACGACAATGACGACGATGAGATCGTCTCCTGCATCGGTAGACGGTAAGCAGTACACCCATTAATGTAGTGCAAAGGTAGACAAGTTAGTTTTGTGATTGTTTCTTATCAATTAAATCAACTCGATTATAAGCAGATGCAAAATCATTGGCACTCTATGAAGTATTTGTTGAATAGTACCAGTAAGTCAGCACATATTACTGCCTTTGATGAATTGCAAAAGTTTTAAAATGTTTCACATATTAATACTATTTAACAACATTTGCATTACGTTTTACCAATTGGTATATAATTATGGAAGCAAAAATAATAAAACAATAGATTAATTATCCAATTGATTAACTTTAAAAATGTTAAAGAATACAGAAATCCCAGGGCTTTTCCGTCCCTGCAGGTAGGGCATAAGTATTGTACCTGCTGCCCCCATTGCATGATCGTAAGAAGCGACTAAATTTGGGATCTTATCTTTTCTTTTCTTTCTAAACAACTTTCCTCTTGTCCGTTGTCAGTATAATGTGACCGGATGGGGTGTCCTGCTGTGATTTCGGTAGTATGTTTCAGTGAGGTACAACTATAAAGTCGGCATCAGTTCCGCGCTATCACAAGGAGACAAACACGAACATATCACAGCCTCCCAAAACACACACGTATACACTGCACGCATGCATCTTGACACAGAGGAGGCCGTCCTTAAATGACCATAGCTGTCGATAGGTCGTTAAACAATACTTAACCAAACCAAACCAAATCAAACCCAGGGATTTTCCACTGTTGATAATTACCTTGCCAACATTGCAAAAGCACAGTCGAGGAAAAATACCGGTCACTTGAAACTATCTTTAAGGTAGAAAAACACCTTTTGTAATGCCTATTTCCCATATACTAGGGAGTCTAACAACAGCGCTTGACCAAATATAATCTTCGTTATATTAACTAATAGAGAAACACAATTTATGTTTGAACGCGAATAATAACATTTCTCAAAGAATTACACTTCAAAATAAAAGTGGAAGAGTCAAAGTTAACATTACATGTATCCATCAGTAATGACTGCAAGAATGTGAGTATTATTATTTCCGAGACTGTTGTCATGCAAATATTGCAATATATTAAACTGTTCGGTCCTTTAAACAAACAAACCAAACCTAAATACTCATCGATTCATAGATGTATTTGTAAAGTAACACACACAAAATAATTGTAACAACTTTGTTTCTGCATGCATATGTTATATACAGGAAAAAAAATGAAGAAAGTCTTTGATTTATTTAACTAATTCATATGGTGAAGATACAAATATGTATCAATTTATAAAAAAGCGCTGAACAAATGTGATAATGGTTTATATTTACCCATTTTAAAACTTACATATGTGTGCCTGTAACATGCTGTTTGTCATCAACGGATTGACATTTAAGGATCACCCAACCACTACCAAAATCTGTAATTGAGTATTGGAAACTGTTTCCCGGCATTACTAGAGCTTTAACAAACTAGTTCTGAAAAGAAAACCGTCCCTTGTGATGCATCTATCAGAAGGTTTAAGATGAATAAACAAATCATATTAATAATAGTGTTCTAAGTGTAAAAATGGCAACACTGGGCTAGACCATGATAGGAACCCCGAACGTTAGACTGCTAAGCTATCGCGCTAACGAATTGAGCTTCCGGGTCAACGAAAGAGTCCTGGCCCAATTGTGCTACAGTTATAACCAAATGGTAGATAAAGGGAGGTAACTGCATACAGGCAAAACACACAGAGCTTTAAATATCACTGCCATACTGCAAGAGAAACACAAGAAATTTCCTTTTAATTTTTTCATACACTTACTGTAGTAATCTCTTCTTCATTTCGTTTGGATATATCTGTGGTGAGACTAGGCCAGAGTATTATCGTTTATCAGGTAGCTTTGTTGGTTAGTTTTACCCCAGAATAGTACTGAACATCATATTTCATAAAGGTTCCGCAAGATACGCGTTTTTTATTTAACAAAAAACTATTCCCATGCCGGTAAAAAGTTTCATAATTTATAAATACAGTTTTGGAAGTAGAACAGGGATCGTTACGGATATTTTTACATTATTGTGTCACTTTTCCCTTCCAATATAGTTTCACCCTATACATATGTCTTTGCAAAGTATTGCAGCTTGGCTAATTTTGTAGTTTAAACATTGTTTTATTGAATAGTTAAACACATTTACTGCACACATAAATTCAGAATAATGTAAAAACTAGCGTATACGATGGATTAATAGTACACAATAATGCCTTGATTGTCTACAGGTAATCCAGAAGTATTATCAGTTAGGTAGCAGAGTACAGTAGAAATGGCCTGATTCTAAAAATAAAGGGCATGTCTCGGATAAATATGGATAGTGGATTAATGCTGCACAACATACTTACATATACCTATATCAATAAACTACATTTTGAAAACATTTTGTTTAGAAGAATGATTTATTTCCAGAAATGTTGTCCCCAGATTTTGGACTTGTAAAAACCGGGGTTGCCACAACAACAACAAAAATAAAAATTAAAACAAAAACATCATTTTTAACTCGAAATTTGATCCTGCCTTAAATTAAATATCACCTACTCGGTAACAGAAATACTCACGTTTAAGCATAGGTCATTACGGTGGATTTTTTCACATCATTTACAAATGTGCTGAGTACTAAAAAAGACTACATAAAAAGCTTGCTTTTGTTGTGTAGACACAGATTTGTAAATGGCCAGCACTGTAGTCTCAAACCAAATTCAATTTGTTTTCTTGAAAAATTATGAAGCCAAAATACTCTACTTTATCATGTATATGCCAATTTCAGGGCTGATTTGTTTTTGTTTTTAATTTGGCACATGTTACATTACAGGGTTTATTCATTGAACAAAAATATCCCCCATGGCCATCGTACGCAACTGTGCACTGCTACTTTAGTAAAAACGTTTTAAAGGCAGACAACTGTGACTTACTATAGAAGTGTGTGTTACTTGTTATACACCATTGCATGAATGTACTTGTCGTTGTTTATATCGATAGTTCTTATGAATTGTAGATACCGGCGGCTTGTCGACTTCGGCCATTTTTGGAATCATATTTGTTGCAATATTCTGTGTCTTCGTCGTCCCCGGAGTTGTTTTGCTGCTATGGCATTATCGGTTTGTAATAAGTAATAACTCATTGTAAAATCTGATTGATCTAAAACTTAACAAACGATATTTTATATATTTTAAATAGTTAACATGTATGGAACAATATTTTATCGTTGAGGGTACTCTCTAAATCCATGTATATTATATTTTGAGTACAGACAATATATGAACTCTTAAAAGCAGACAGAAGACCAAAATAAAGAGCAGTGTCTAAAATATTTTCATATTTTATGCTGTGCTGCATATATTTATGTTATATTTCATAAAATACAAGGCACATAATTCTATATTGATTCAGTTATTACTACTGTACACATCTGGTGAATCTTACGATAGTGATACAGCCAGCTTTATAATCACTAAAAATATCAATATTATTTCAGTAAACATTTTCAAAAAAGTTCCATAACATACAATGCACTTGTGTATTTCCCAATATAAATAAATATGTCAAACCACACAACTAACAATAAACATTTACCTCAGTTTACATACCAATTTTCATCATATCTAGAAGAATCGTGTTCTTATTATGATGTAAGAATATGATTTTGCATTATACAATCACTGACTTCATATCATTATGTGATAACGTGTTACCATGAAGTAAAACACTGTAATATGGTTCACTGTCTTTGACTTGCAGGAAAGCAGGCAAACGTCTCTGTCCAGGATCAAGTGAGATACCTTCAAACAAAGTGACCAGTTCACAGACATTTATTATGTCAAGTGCAGATGTATATTAAATGACATATGGCCCCTTGCCAAATTGTTCCGAAATTCAAAATTCTGCTTTAGGTAAAGTGTTTGCTGTATCCCTTACACTCATAAGTCAAGTATATTAAACTACGAATAAATGTTCCTGCATTAGACTCTTCACTCCGATTAAAATGTGCTGAATTTTTAAACCAATGTGATCTTCATTTTTTTGTCTGTAACTATATGTAAATTACATTAGAACCTTTCTTAATAGATGAACGTAACCCATATAAACGGGTGATTGCATTTTCAAACAGTTTGGTAAAAGATTTAGTACGCCAAACAAGAAGAAAACTGCATCATAAAGCTGTTTTGCCTTCTAGGACCCATCGATGGTGCTAGGGACCAAAAAGTTAGAAATGATAAATAACCCTTAATTATATGAATTTCAACAGTTAGAGAAATACTGGTTAATTTTAAATTATATATATGTTTTGCGTAAACATAGTCAGTGGCAACTAGGCTTTTTTTTTAACTCCAATGTTATTGTAAAACGATCTTCCCAGTTTAAAGCAGTGGTGCATCAACGCTTGATATTATTCGACTGAGATACATTGAGCCCATTTTGTCAGTCAGACTATAAATATTGTTAAAGTTACACTGTTTGCGCGGAGGAAATTGTTACTGTGTGTGTGCGCGTGTGTGTTTGGGGAGGGGTGCTAATACATGTATGTACGGGGTTTGACTTTGATTATTTGTTATTTGTTATATGGGCGGATTGGTCGAGTGGTTAACAATCCGACCTTCCAAACAGGCGGCCGGGGTTCGATCCCCGAAATCACCGTACGCATGGAATATTAGAGAAAGTATTTTTCTCCTGCCCAAACAGCTCCAACAACCCAGGTGGAGTATAAAATGATCTGGGGTTGGTGTTGCGGTATCTGTGCTGTAGCATTCAAGTGAGAAGGCACTATAAATGATACCGTTGGAAGCACGGTCCCACTACAAACAAAACACAATACATCTCCAGCACACACACAGGCATACACACATAGGGAGCTATTAGCCATGTGGTATAGGACTAGTAGTTAGCGCCTGATAAGGCAGCTCCTGCGAAATCCTCAATATTGTATTGATTAATATATATATGCTAATTGTATTGACTGTATACAATATCTATGTACTGTAAAGCGCTTTATAGTGGCTTATGCTAGCTAGATAGGGCGCTATATCAAATGTTGTATATTGTTGTATATTATTTGTACGTCTATGTAACTCTTCGATGATTCATTTTGGTAATATCCCCATAGGATGTACATCTAACTGTCGTGAGGTGATGTCATGTTTCCTACCTAGACCTAGATGTACAGCTAACTGTCGTGATATGATGTGAAGTTTCATAGCTTATTCAACAGATACACATCTGGTAGCAACAACTAATTTCTAGAATTCTGCAAATATTTTACTTGCCATACATGTAAAACATCCTCTGAGCTGTTTAACAAAAGTCACAAACCCTCTCTCACCGAGTCAAACAAATAACAACAGCGAACAGTTAAAGATTATTCAGATTTTATTCAGAAAATACACATCAGTAACTCAAACATATAAACAAGTTTTTAAAGAGTTGATAGAAATACATATACATATACAATTCACGTCTTTTCAATGAAACGGCCCTTAACGATATCTACAAGCCTACTAGCTGTTAGGGTGAAATTGTAAAAGTAAGTCTATGTAATTGCTGAGTATAATCATATATATGCAAATGGTCTTAAATGATCAAAGCATAGGATATATCAATAAAAAAGTAAGAACTTTGTGTCGTTAGTGTTATAAATGTTCATCCAATGATAAACAAAAATTGACACTTTGTTCTTAAAACTTCCAATGTGCCTTGATAAACAAAGATCTCATTATAGATCAATAGATTAATGATTAAAATTAACCAATTATCGTATTATTTGTGTCGGGAAGGATTAATTAAATCCAAGACAATTCACAGTGGTAGAGGAATAGCCAGGACGCACAATTATTATTTATTAAATAGAAATGTTCTTTAACTAGATTTCGTTTGTAGACACAACATCAAAATATTATAACTATTAAAGACTTTATTCAAACAGCAACTTGTTGAAACGTTCATTTAAATTAACTACCAGCCTTATAATTGTTCAGCTGAAAAATATCATATAAATATGTTATTGATAAATATAGTCAAATATTTACAAATAACAGTAAGAATTTTGTGATTGTGTATTGATAATAGTTTATTCATCCGACGACAAAACTTACTTGATCTTAAAATATTTACAAATATGTCTCAGTACACAAAGTTCACTTTATTCTTCACCATATCAAAGCTATGTAAACTATTTTACATAAAGAATGACATTATTCATGCCACTTATATCTACACGCATGTACATGCATACAAAACAAATGTATACATACAAACATACACGCATGCTCGAACGATACTATAGAACTCCTCTGTTGGACCTAAGGTCAAATGGATGGAATAGTTCTAACGTTTTGATGTCCTTTGTGTTCTAAAAACTGTGTTTGTTTTACCCTTAATAATGTCACAAAATGTACAGCTTTTGGCTTAAACAGATAATGTTGATTTAAATCAAAATCCCATTTAAAGAAAATATGCTCAGGCAAAATAGCCAGTTGTTTCCCTTTACATGTGGGAAATATAATAATTTCTGATATTTTGTCATAACAACATGAGGGAATTGTAAACAACAACATACTATCCACTATTTTATTAGAAATATTAAATATATAGATTTACATTTCTTCTATTTTTTACCTTGAATTTGAAACGAGCTTTTTTAACATTGCATACTACACTACATATACAAACATTTCTACGTAAGATATAACGCTATGAAACATAAATCAAACTCCATACATGTTCCTACATGTACCAATCATACACTCATATATTATAACACTTAAATACATCATAGAGACAAAAAACAATATCACTTTCCATATATTGGTATGTCAAAGTTAACATCCTTTAGAAATGTATCACAAAACATAAGATAAAAATCGTACAATTCAGCTGGTTGAATAATGATAATAATAAAAAATGGGGTTCTTATATACCGCTTCATCACAATTTGGTTGGTTGGTCGTCTCAAAGCGGTTCACAAATAATAGTCCATGGCAATAGGGACTTTGCTACCAGCCGATATCTTCCTCAATTCCCTGTGAAGCATACAGCCTGTGCTATCTTTTCGGCGCTCACAGCCAGTATTCAACAATTCAAGCACTGCCCAGTTACGTACTCATTTACAGCTGAGTAGACTGGAACAAGCGGAGTAAGGATATTTTTCAAAGATACAACACAGTGCCGTGACGTGACTCGAACCCGCAACCCTTCGGTCACCAGTCCGGCGTCCTACCACTAGACTAGCGTGCCTCTAAAAAAGGCACTAAATGTGTAATCAGGTGTTTCTTTTATCTACAACTGTATGTATGTGTGTATAACAAATATAAGTATGATATATGACTCTAGTTTTTTTCAAAAACTAGAGTAATATATCAAACTTATATTTGTTATACACACTTACATACAGTGTAATACATTAGATTATGTCAGAATGGAACAATCCAGCCTGTCTGTTTCCCACTATGACATCTCTTGGAGCTCTGAACAAGGATTTTTTCACGTTCATCCGAAATGGATGTTCACCCAATATGTAGTAACATTAGTAAATATCACGGTGATAGAAAAATTAATTAAGTAATTTAAATTCAGATTTCATTTAATGCCCATCTAAATGATAGCCCTGCTTGTATGTGTGGAACACTATTCGAAGATCGTGATCATTTTTTCCTGCATTGTCTTTTTTATACTAACCAAAGACTAATATTACTTAACTCTCTGTCAACGATGAGTGATGCTTTTCTCAATACCCAAACTTTTGAGACGTAAATATGAATGTAACTATTGTGGAGACGGTTCAGAATTACATTAGAGGCACCAGACGTTTTTATTAGATTCTTAAATAGCTTTGTAAAATAATCTCTCTTACAACAATTTCGATATTTGAAATATGTATTGTCAAATCAAATTCAAAGTACAAATAATCTCTTATTTTAATACTAAAAGAAACATCTGTAAAAGTAACATTTATATGATATGTATAAACTGTTATGTTTTGTAAGGAGATGGCTTATATAGGCTATGCCTGTTGCCCAATTCCTTTTGTACATAAGATCAGTACAATAAAATGTTCTGAACTGAAAATATATGTTTATAAATCATTTGTAAAACAAAATTAACCGACAAGTGTTTTTCGTGGATTTAATCATTTCTAAGCAGTCGACACATGATGATATAGAACGCGCATTACCTTAAAAAATGAAATTGAAAATAAATTGCATTAATTTTGCATATATAAGTTCGCTTTTCTCTTCTAAATGAAGCCGTACATACTTAATCAATAATTGTATATATTTTTTTCAAAAAACATACAAAATACAAGCAGCTTTCTATAATTTTTATAATTTTGTATACGGCACACCAGGAAGCAATCTTTTTATCGTGCCTTATACGGTATACAAATAATCTTTGCTAGCATTTTTATACACTGAATTGGTATTAACAAAAAATACGCATACGTTTTGTTAATACCATCTCTTGGGATTGGTAAATATGTATTGTACATAGCCTCATGTGTGACATTTCGAAGTGTAGTTCGATATGTAGTCAGTGTCTTACCAAAAACAAAATGACAAGTTAAGCATATATACATTAAAGTGTTAAAATATATACATAAAAGTGTTAAAATATAACCACAAAAGCATCTACAAGATGATTCGGCTACGCTTAAAACGCATGTACACTTAGATATTATTTATATGTACATGTTAAGCCTAACTAAAGTTAACCGTTACATCCTGTCCTGGAAGTACCAATGTAATGTATTATTACACAACAGGGATGTTACCACGGATTATAGATGATGTTTACAATGCACATTATAGACAAAGGGAATAAGCAATATTTCCAGTAATGCTATATATTTATAATTAGTACTATTGACAACAGAACAACATTCATGAAAACGTAACAATACAAATGAACTATAAAATTGCAAAAATACTTATATAAATGTGATATGTACATGTTGATGCATTGTCAAGTTAATTGCCAAGAAAAGTCGTAAAACAGAGATTTTTGTTTTGAAGTCAGTGCTAAAGTAAACTGTCGATTACGACAAAGGGTAACAAAGTTTATTGATATTATTACCATTTTTACTATTGTGAAATATTTTTTTAAACTTTGTTTAGAAGAGGTGTTCCATAAAAATCTTATTATGCAAATTATACCGTCGAACTCGCGGCGTAAATTTGTCAAAGCCAAAACCTTATCGAGTTGTCGAATAGGAATTTTTAATGTGTATTATCAAAAGATATCTTATGTATAGGCTGCTTTCCACAGAATACTCACCATGAATACACTCTTAGTGGAACCCTTCTGTTCAATAAGAACGATAACAGTGGTACCGATTACATTAAGGTATACGGACGGATTTTATTGCTAGGATTCATACAAAAAAAATGAGAAATTTATTTCAAACAGTTGACAGATATCACCTTTCGATCTATCACATGATGCCCCCTATCATAATTCTGTAGCTGTTCACAAACTGTCAACATTTTGTTATTAAATATTGTGAGTAAATGTTCCACACTTCTGTTTTTACTTCCTGTTTTAATATTGTTTATTATATCTAATAGCAGTATCTCAACATCGCATTCCGTAGATTTATCTCCCCTTGGTGAGAGTTATCCATAAAATAGGAATTTTGTTACTGAATTAAATATTAAATATATTATGCATTTCAGTATCTTTTCCGACTATATACTGTTTGCTGATTTTCTGCTACAAAATCTTTTGTATTAGCTGTTTTTAACCCCCTCCCCTCCTAGTTACTGCTCATTTCTCCGTCTCTTTACATACCAAAATATTTTCTTCACATCGTTTTTGGTATTGAAATTCACCTTTTCATTTGCTACCTCAATTCACCGTGATCTCCTTATCGTATTGTTTACCTCCAAGCGTTTTTCTTGATGCTCCGGATGTGCCGTCTGATAGACAAGAGATCACAGATAAGGAGAGACCCGACGACAAGGCCAAGCATGAGAATCCCAAGTATCCCAATGTTTGTAGCGGATGACCGGTCGTCAGTAGCACTACTCTTCTTTCTGATACCTGACGACAGCGCTGTCTTATTGACAGTCAGTTTCTGTTTCGTTTCCACAGTTTCCTCTGTCAATTTCTCCACCTTGGCTTCCTCTGAGCGGTTATCAAAGGCTGAAAGCGTTTCCCAGGATCTCATTTTCTCGAAATACGCACAGTCGCAGTCACAGAGTTCTTTCTCTGGCAAACACAAAAAGTAAATCTATATGAGTAAATCCATGTTAAGTCAATTGAATATAGCAGCATTTTTATTTAGCTTATTATACTCTTCGCTTTTCGGACGTTTAAATTATTTATTTTATAAAGGTTACATGCTTTCCTTTTCTTATTGGATTTGCCTTCATTTTAATCTTATGTTTGAGATAATAAAAAACGTTATGACTGACAAACTGTTCTCCTTTTCATCAAAATGAATTTTTATTCTTGTTATGGTCCCTTATGGACGCAATGACATTTGGTACACTTGAAATACACTAGAAAGCAAATTAAATACTTTTAAATTAATATAACACGAGAAAATAGAATATTTCCTATAAATGCATGCTTTCGAACTTAACATTTTTATCATCAACCTGTATCCCTCGATACCCATGTTGTAAGTTTTTATCAGTCAGTATTCGACATCTTTCTCGTAAATTTTCAACTTCAACAGATTTTATTGACAATAGAATGGTAACATGTCAAAAGGATTGGTCAACAGGCTTAAATCTCATGTAAGTGATCTCCCTTGGTGGTATAAAGACATAAATGAAAAGACACAGTTTACTGTCAATAATTCAATATGAGAAACAGGTGTCATAATTGGCTATATAGATTTAGACAAGGTAAAAAAGGTGTCGTGAATATCAAATCAACTGCGATATATGATCACCGTAGTATAAGCATGGATGTTACTATCACGAACGGGGATAGTTCACCAATAAAAAAGCAACTAGTTTTAATTTACGACAAGTAAGCTACAATAAGATCATATAAATGTAAACATACCTACGGCTTCCACACAACTACTATACTGGGTGGCATTCGTCTCCTTGCACGAGGCATCTATTTAAAATTTCAAACGTAATCTTTGTTGTAAGGTGACAATCAGAACAAAATATTTATAAGGTTTGGTATCCTCAGCTGTTATGTGCATTAACCACTAATGGTGTTAAGAAATATAGCCATACATAAATCACCATTTATATATTCATTTTGTGACAAATTAAAATTTCCTGGTGCATGTCTTTAAAGTTCTGTTTGAAAAGAATTTCTATTTTAAGCTTGTTATCAGAGTATCCGTATGACTTCTGTTGAAAAGAAATCAGTTTTGCTTGGTTTCTTTTTTTTAACAAATATGGCATAAGGATAAATGCAAATAAATTCATTTTAATGATCATGTTCAAGTCTCGATTTACGTCTTGAAATACCCGCTTAGTAAATATGAATAAATAACTAATAAGTTTTAAGCCGTAAGGATTCCTCAATCCTCCATTATTATATCGAAATATCATGCCTGCATAAAAAAAAAACACAAACTATTTTTTGTCATTAAAATTAATATTTGAAATATGTCACGAAATATTTATTAACAAATAAGTAGTTATACATACCGATTATATTATTAAAATTCTGTAACATTGAAAATATATGCTCACTTACCGTACGACATCTCTAGTTTGAGTGTGTCGAATTCATCGAAGGCGTGCTCCCAGCAATCCACCTCTCCTGATAAAATAATAATAAAAAAAATATTCATATTGCAAAACTCAGTAATGAAAAAGAGCGTGAGACGAGTTCTTCGAGCAATATATCTTCCTCTGTTTCTATACAAAACCTATATGAGGTAAAATTTACAGATTTGTTAAATCAACGAATTTTAATCATTATTCGCACTGTGATACATACAAAATGTACAGTCCGTTTGTACATAAAACCACATACTCAAAACTAAGCTTTTCTTTAGGAAATAAAATATTGATAGGCGTTTAAAAAAACGATAGATTTTTCGATAGAAATACCAGAAAACAATTTTGCTACCGTTCCGGAAAACAATTTGATCGAATAGAAAGTTTGATAAATAAAGTAATTTTTGCGAAAGAAAAGAGCCTTGAAATGAATAATAATAATAATTACAACATTTCGATATAGCGACCTAGATAGCTCTAAAGCGCTCTACGGTACATAGAGATACAATTCATACAATCAATACAATTAGCATATACATCAATCAACATAATTTTGAGGTATTCGCAGGAGCTGCCTTATCAGGCGCCAACTCCTAGTCTCATGCCACCTGGCGAATATCTCCCTATGTGTGTATTCCTGCGTGTGTTGGAGATGTGATGTGTTGTGTTTGTAGTGGGACTGTGCTTTCAACGGTATCATTTATAATGCCACCTCATTTGAATGCTACAGCACAGGTGACGCAACATCCACCTCAGATAATTTTATACTCCATCTGTGTTGTTGGAGTTGTGTGGGCGGGAGATAACACTTTCTTTGAATATTCGATACATACGACACCTTCGGAGATCGAACTTCGGCCGCCTGCGAGGCGTTTAGATGTGGTATATAAAGTTAACAAGCAACGAGTGATTATGTGTTTGTTAATCTAGAGACCAAACAACAGTTGATAACATTCCATATATAGTTGCAAAGCAATAAGTGATTATTTGTTGTATGTAGTTTGAAAACAGAGTCTAGGTATTAATCAGTGTTAGGTGAAGTTTCACATTAAGTACTAAGCGATGAGTGATTATGCGTCTCATTTAGTTATTAGCAACGAGTCGTTATGTGTCATATCTAAATACCCATCAACGAGGAATTATTTGAAATATCTAATTACAGAGACACGAATGGTTAATGTCATATCTAGTTACCCATCCATGAGTGGTTATATGTCATATCTAGATTTATAGAAACGAAAAAGTATGTGTCATATCTAGCTACATAGAAACCAAACATTATGTGGTATATCTAGTAACCAAGCTATGACATGTTATGTGTCATACTAATAACACAGCAACTAAAGGCTACGTGCCGTATATATCTAGCTACTTAACATGAATGTGTAAGTGTCATATATAGTTACCCAGTACAAGTGGTTACATGTCTTTTGTGTCCTATCTAGTAATCAAGCAAAGAGTTGTTACATGTATGTGTCATATCTAGTTACTAGCCATTTAATGTTATGTGTAATATCTAGTAACCTAGTCAGGAGTTGTTACCTGTCATATCTAGTTACTAGCCATTTAACGTTATGTGTAATATCTAATTACCCGGGAACGAGTTATTTTATGTCATATGAAGTTACAAGCAATGTGATACTATGTGTGATCTGTAGTTAACCAGTCAAGAGTGTCTATGTGCTATATCTAATTAACGAACAACGAGTTGTATGTGTCATATCTAATTACTAGTCATTAAATGTTATGTGTAATACCTAGCTACCCTGCCACGAGTGCCTATGTGTCATATCTAGTTACCGAGCAATGAATTGTTATGTATCATATCTGGTTACTAGCCAAGGGATGATATGTGTAATATCTAGTTGTCCAATCACGGGTGCCTCTGTGTCATATCTAGCTGCAAATACATGAGTGGTTATGTGCCATATCAAGTCATTTAGGTACGAGTTTTTACGAGTCATATTTATTTACCAAGCTAGAGTGATTGCGTGTCACATCTTGTTACCTAGCAACGAATTGGTATGTATTATATCTTGTTACTAGCCATACGATTTTATGCCTACGAATATGTATGTGTTATATCTAGTAACACAGCAGCAAGTGGGTATGTGTAGTATCTAGCTACACATGACGGAGTGGTTACGTGTCATATATTTTTTACAAAGATTGAGTGATTGCGTGTCACATCTTGGTACCCAGGAACGAGTGATTATGTGTTATATCGTGTTACCAAGCAACGGTTAAGTATGCGTTCGATCTAATTATAGAGTAACGAGTGGTACTAAACAGCGGGTGGTCTTAATACTTGAGCAATGAGTGGTTATAATTATGTGTCACGTCTAGTAACCTAGCAACAAGTGGTTTTGTGTCATTTCTAGTAACCTAGCATCAAGTGGTTGTGTGTCACATCTAGTTACCTAGCAACAAGTGATTGTGTGTCATATCTAGTTACCTAACGACAAGTGGCTGTGTGTCATATCTAGTTACCTAGCAACGACTGATTATGGTCCTGGGTAAGTGATGCGGAATCAAGAAACTTTACAAAGAAGAATCGAGGTCGCTCCTCTTCATCCGGGGAGTTGTACACAGCTGCGTATCCGCTGGAGGTGTCGTTGTTACGTGTGAGGATAAATTCAAAGTTACCAGCACTGCAATTAGTTAGATTAAAAATATAAAATCCATATTTGCAAGCTTAGAAATATAATTAATATGAATAAATCATATTATATTTGTTTCAATTTCAATTTCAATAAATTTTATTGTCAAAAGACAAACGGATTTGGCAGCAGGCAAAGCCTGTTCAAGACATCTCCAAACACAGTAACAAACAGTGGTACAAGCATAGACATAGACATTAAAATACATACAAACACATATAAACAAGTTGGTATTATCTAATAAATTATCAAATTATGGGAAACAACTTCAAAATCCTATTTTTAATATAATTGAATCTAATGGCTTACATTCTAACCTTTTATTTGATACCGAAAAGACATATGAAATAATTACATGTTATCAAGAGAAAAGAAAACAATTTGTTGATGGAGCTGCAGGTATAAACATTTGATGGGATTAAATAACCGCACCCAACAGATACAGGCCAAAAAGTCCATTGTATTATATTTGTTACGTTCTTATAACTGACTAGAATGTCAAAACGTGTAAGTGGCCAACACCTATTAGCCTAAAATTCCAACTTCATTTGGTATCAATAATTAGTTAAACGATGACAGAAAGTGCCTGCACAATATGTCATGCAATGACATCCACGAAAATGGTTCTTTTATCATTTCGGTACTAAAAATGTAAATCAATATCGTAATTTTATCCTATTTTTAGCAAGTAACCCTAATCCTACAATTAAAATGTATTTAAAAAAAGATACTCAACTACAAGTTAGTTAAAGAAACAAAAAGGTAATTGCCAAAAAAAAAATCTCCTGCCTCAAATCAATAGTAACACGATTTTGATTAAGAAATGTTACTTGATGACACAAAACATCAAGTAATTTTGACTTATTTACATATGTACACTTTTATTAAATGCCTCGTTACCATCTGATATTGCAATGTAATGTAGCACTAATATTTGCTTCCTATTTTTGTTTTCAAAACTTGCTTTGAAAATGTTATTTATACATTTCTGTTGAAATAAATGACATAGTGATGTCCTTGTCCAATGTAAATATTTACATAAATTATAAATCCGATTACGATTTACGTTTACGAGATGTAAATACAGGTAAAAGAACAATAGTAATGTACTCAACAGCAGTACGAATGAAAGGAAACCGTATTATAACCTACTTTAAAACGAGTTGCAATTTCTCTAGTCCCGAGTTGGTATCCAGAGGAGGCTTCAGGCTACGTATCGGGAGGCCCATAAAAGCGTCCAGTTGAATCGTCGGTCGATTGTCAAATAGTTCGATGGTTCTATTAGGGCCACCATTCGATAGAAAAATGATTCTTAGCTTCAAACGAAATATAGAAATGGATTATCGAATGCAAAATAGAAGCAAAGATATCATGATGCCTACAAAGTACATAAACCGAAAACGACATCCTATTAAATTGAAAATAACATGATCCTAACCACAACTGGAAATACGGAGACACATCAACAAATAGGAATGACGACAACAACCAACCAATAACTGGCACTAAGAAGGAACTGATGAGGAGATACCAAATAAAAGAGAAAGTCGTTATAAAATTAGATATGTTATACAATTAATAAAAAGACATTCGCTATATACACTGTATTTTATGGAAAGATAGAACAAGTATACATTTCTGTTCTAATTCACATAGAGAAAACAACATTTGACATATAATCTGTATGGTTTTACTTCAGTTTGTTTTCGAGACTTCAATGGAAACAAGTACCTTCTTGTTTGTACACTCCTTGTCCCTGAATGTATCGATCTTTCCGTCTCTGAAGGACCCCGTACTCATGTCTCCACATTCAAACCCCTGGAGGTCAAACATGTCAAACAAACTCAGGTTGCTTCCCCGCTTTATTGTGATGTATGCTGTAATATTAAGCACACAAGTAACCATACCATCTAAATCACTTTAAACAGAAGTTAGTGTGTTTTTTTCATATCACGTGTCATCCTTGGTCCTTCTGTCCGTCCGTTACATCTCAGAGAGTACTAGACAGCTTCTTTTCATATTTTAAACATGGTTTCCTGTAAAAACTTTCGTTTTGCAATATCTCTTATATTTCTGTATTGAAAGAACTGTCATGCGGTCATCTTAGATTCCAGGGTCACTGTTTGTTACCGCGATTTATTTAGGCCGTTAGGCGGATACTTACAACAAGGCAAATCTATAAAACAAAGTGTACTCATGCTGCTCTTGGGACTTAACTGTGCAATATCACTTCTATTTGCAGATGTTAAGATCAACATGGCTGTCTGGCGGCCATATTTAAATATATTATCGCAGCATATCTCAAGACTGAAACAGTGTCTTGAATTGGATTCAGGGTTGTGGATTTGTTCGCAGCATAGTAGTGGAAAATGTATATAATCTTGATCTTCGAGAGTGGGTCAATTTTAATCGATTTCATTATACTTTTTAGAATAGTTAATTGTCTACATTCTTTGCCACTACTTATATATGAAATTTTACATAATTTTGCTAGGTGTCCTATCAAAGAAAATGGTGTTTGACCTTATTTAGTCATTCTTACCTATGTTTTAGAATTTGACCTAGATTTTGAATAATTGTCACCAGCTATAGATATCTACATACTATTGTTCTTTTACCTTATTCACTGTGACACATTTTCAAATATAAACTACACAAAGAAATTGTCACCAAGGCTTAGAAATTTACATAAAACGGTTGCTTCATCATATGAAATTACTGTGAGCGTTTTCAAGAAAGAAATTGACCTGCATAGTTAAAATTGTCATTATAACATAGAATTGTCCATTTGAACAATCAGGTCTATTTGACTCCTTTAAAAGTTATCAGCGTGTTCACAAATTTATTAACATGGACCTATTGTTTGACCTAATCATGTCTTCCTGACCTGCTTTTTTTTAGTTAAATCGCACAGAATCATAGAACAACAGCATAGAAACAAAATTATAAAAACTGCATGTTCTTCATTATGTCCTACAATGTACGCCTCTAATGATGGGCGCCCAGATCCCTCTCAGATTTCTTGTCTTATTCAAATCGGCATAATCAAATATTACACAAAAAATGTACTTGTATCAATGTAAATACAAATCAAGCGTATCCAACTCGGACGAAGTTGACATTTTTTTAATTTTCAAAATCAATTATTCTGGTTATAAAATATCTATGTTATCAGATTAAAAAGGCGATCTTCAAATAAAAAAAGAGGGATGTTCATATTTCATATCTTTTTCCGTACAAGATAATATGTAAGTTCGCCCTACGTGCCATTACGTGACACTAAGTAGATGAAGCATTATACGGTAGAATCTAGTGCGCAATCGTTTAAACCTAGTTAGCTTAACAACAAATCTATACAAATTCACTCGTTTACTCTTCTTTGCCAATACAGTGCAAATTAAAAAAGAATATTTCCTGTAAAAATGAGTCTGAATAGATTAAATGTGATAATTTACAAAGGAAAGTACACATATATATATAGTCATCTAAGACTTTTTAAAGATTTCGCCAAAATAGAGGTGAGCGTGCTTTGAATCTTAAAACGAAATATATGAAGTGATGCAAATTAACACCCTAATGGTTACACCCGGAAACAACCGAACGGTTTGTTATGAACGTAAATTTATTATTACTCTCGTGAATGGAAAGGCAAATCTGTATAATGCTTATTCTTCATTACGTTATAGCATATTCCAGAATAGTTTAATTCTAACACGTGCTTTTACCTTTGCATAAGATTATAAAGAGAAATAGAATATGTGGTGTTTAGGAAACAAACTCAAAACTAATTAAATCAAATTACTCAGTAAATAATGTGAGGTATGTTATGCGGTTATATAAATACTGTTGTTTGCTAAATATGTTCGCTCATTATTTATTTATGGGTGGTAAAATAGTCATAGGGAAAATTATTAACTTCGATTACACAGAATACGATATCTACAGTATTAACCCCTATTTTCAAGAATTGACACATCCGAATCAATGCTCGGTAGAGTTTACTACAGTAACGTAGGGGTGAAAGGGTTAAATTCGTAGTATTAGCCACGTTGTTATATCTGTAATATTTGCCACATTTGTTTGTGTTTTTTTGCCATTTTGGTTATATTAGTTTCTACCACTATTGTTCTTGTTTATCAACTCTCAGACTATTGATTATCTGCACTTCCGGTTGATTAACAAGCTGTGCAGTTGATTAACACGCTGTGCAGTTGATTAACGATTCCGGCATTTTGATTGGCGATGGTACAGATAGGTTATCGGGTGAAGCTTTGTGGGGAGGGAAGGGTAAAGTTTTGGATATTTCAAATAACCAGGGTTTTCGAAGGTTTTAAATCAGACTTGAGTCCAGCGGTAAGATGATCACCGAGACCAGGTATAGATTTGATATAATCCCCGGGCGTGTCGTTCACTGGCAATGCCCCTCCCAAAGATCCTCCCCCAGACCTTAACAACGTTAGGCTCCGTCTCTTCCCGGCAAGAAGAATGCCCAATTCTGTTCATTGCCCAATAAAAAAAAACGAACAGTCTACCAGATTCCGATGACGAACTCATTAACATTGATATAGATAAATTCCTTAGAGATGAACAGAACAGAAACACACAGAAAAAGACCGAATCTGACATGAACAAGCTGTCAGAATTTCTCTGCCAAAACCTTAAGGAGACATGGCCAATTATGCCTCAGGAACTATGCAAACTTCTTTGCATATTTTTCATGAATGTGAAAGGAAATAGTGCCACAAAATCATTTCAGAACAGAGACGATTTCGATTGTTTTTATTATTATCAAATGTACATTTTTGATATATTCTTGTTTTGTGAAACGAAATAAATGTTTCATGGAGATTTAAAATGAATCTACGTGTTTTGAATATCAATGAGTTTATCACACTCTTGTATACATTACTACGCGTAACGAATTGGAGCCCCCGTCAGTAGGGGAAATAGTGGTAGAAACAATTTACATAACTCGTGTCGGTTGATTAACATGTTTATCTAACTCTCATTAATCCTCGTGTCTTTTTTTAAATTTGAAAATTAACTAACGAGAGTTAGATAAACATGTTAATCAACTAACATTCGTTGTGTAAACTCTATAGTATTACCAGATCTGTTGAATATGTTAAGTTTGAATTATTATATTTTATATTTTTAAGATATCTTATCGGTCTATTGTCCACCTGTATATACCTCTGCTATTGCCAACATTGCTAAATTTCAAGTATTGTACTCGCTATTATATGTAATATGTAACTGCTCTAATAACTATATCTGTGGTTTGATCATAACAATAATTTATCAACCCTCGTGAATACAAGAAAGAAGTGTCTCATGAGGAACGACCATATGAGATAACTCTATCCCATATAAGTGCACTCGGTTATCTCCGATTCAGGCACGTGTTCTTGACTGGAAATCGAATAGTCAGTACTATTTATGGTGAGATACTGATACGTACATATGTAACGTCATTGTTATATATTTACATTTGCATGGCATTGTCACTATATAGCCTCTTTGAAAGCTGTGTCGTTGATGGGACTTTAATTACCATGCAGCACGGGACGCAATTCTTAGCGTATTAATACAACACTGACCGGAACTACAATATCCAATGTAAGTAAACATGACGGCAGTTGAAATATCGTTGGGCATTGTGAGACTTGACAATGTAATTGTAAATTTATGTGCAAAAGAAAAAAGAAAAGAAAAAATACTTTTATTACAACAAAAACAAGACCAAGGTTTTCAATATCGTACAAAATGCACATCAGTTGAAATCACTAATGCCGGCATTGGAAACAATTTTAATGCAATTGATCAGAAATATCGTCTGTTACATTGCACTGGTAAACAGGGGTTCGTTACAAATGTCTGAAATACACATATTCTATAGACCTACTGACACATATGTTACAGACCTACTGATATGAGTCACAGTACATAAACATTTCAGACATTTGTAACAAACCCCTGTGCTCCGTCGCAAGATCATTCACTTCAAACGCTATCAGTTTCACGCGTCTCGCAGCCACGGTTTCCTCAGTTTCTGAAGACCTGTCAAATAACGAGGCTATTATAGAATCTACCGACTGTAGTCAAATTCCCATACAATCAACAAATAAATTCACGTCTGGATTCTTCAAAATGAGCAAAGCGAAAAGTTCGAATTAACTTCAAAAAATAACTCCCTCGTGGAGGGCAAGGTCGGATTAACGGTGTTCACTGAATTTATCCATGCGCGAAATTTGTTCCGAGGAAAAAGCGAAACAATTTCATATCTAACTTTCAGCTAAAAGTTCTATTGATAAACTTAAATCACCCTATAGACATATTATACGCAATTGTATTGATACTGAATTGTTGAATAAAATTGAAGTATTTGTTAAAATTTCAAAGTACTACTTTGTTTGCCAATCAGCACGCGACAATACGCTGTTCAAACTATTGAACGAACTTGTGTGGACTGTCGATAAGGCGGGCATTTTTAATTTTAAATATAAATTATAGGTTAAAAAAACATAAGAGGCAGAGAAAACGTAAATTTAAGTATTGAACTGTTTTTATATGGTATTTATGATCTATTTGAATGACACAGCTTTGCAAGCAAACAAATCATAATGCGCGCTAATTCAATGCTTAAATGAAGCATAACGTCATAAAGTGGCATTTTTTGTTCAGCATAAAAAAGACCACTGTCACATTCGACTGCACCTCACAGAAATAACCACTATTAAAAGACTTGTTGTGGAGCTTTTCCAAACCACTTGAATATTAAGTTTACTTCCGTTATATACTTTTTTCCTGTTCTTTCCTAATCTTCTTTTATTTATTTCTTCTGGTTTCCGAAAATTTATAATCTATTAATGAATTC